AGTGACTCCTGATTTACATCAATGCGAGGTGCTACATATTTCTTTAAAGTCAACAGGAAATTTTGCAACATTTATATTAGTATATGCAACACCAAACTATTTATGATAAGTTTTTTAAATGAGTGAGGAATTAATTTACATTTTTCAAAACTGTGGGTATCAAATCTAGGCACCAAAATTGCCTAGGGATGCTACACACTCAAAATTTGAGTTTGAACATTTTGGCTTTAATCTTTTTGATTATAAAGCCCTCGGTGATTACCACCTAAACAGAAAGAACTCTGAATGAACATTCTTAATGGTATAAAAGGGCATAAAAAACCCATTCAGACATTATTCCATTTTAACTATGTAATTATTTCATTGTAGTTTGTATGGAAGGAGCTGATAGGACACCTATTTGTAATAAATTGGCTTTGACATTTTTTAGCAATTTTTTTCTTTACTAATTTCTTAGTTCACACCATAATTCATTTATAAGGTACCTGTTGGGTAACAGAGGTCAGCCTATGCTGAGCTATGTGCTACTATAGCTACCCTACTATCATATCAGTGCCTGAGCTGATTTGTTTATAGTTTGCTTGGTACTTACACAACACTTGCTGTCATTGCAATGACAGAAGTGGGAACATATCTGTAGTATTACAAGTTCAGTTTCTTAGAATGAGATCAATGTATCAAACTATTAATGGAATAGTTCTTCGAGGATTCAGGGTTTTTGGTGGGGAATGGGGAGAGCAGTTGTACGCAGCCACGATTGTTTCTTCTCTTAGTCTGTCCATATAAAAGGAACTCTTGGACCTGCTGTTACTGCCTGGAAACTGAGAATTTCTGAAAGAGATTTCTATCTGCTGCTTGTGACCTCCAGTGTTAAAGACCTGGTGCATATAATGTAAACAAAGTAATGAAACTAAGGAAACTGAAGCTGGCACTTTTTATGCCTTAGTAGAGTGATGACAGTATCTTCTTCCTTTTAGATTTACTTGGGCAGCTGGGATCTGTTGTGCTGATCTATAACAGGCTCTGCATATGACTTTATATCATATATCATTGATGGGACTATCCTTGCTACATTGGTGAGGGACATCTGATTGATAGTGGTAATGAGCTTTAGGGCTCTGTATGTATGGATTGATGCACATTCAAGTTGTGTGATGTCTGAAAAGTGCAAGCCCTCAACTTCTGATGAACACTACCATATTCTCAGGCCCTGCAGTATGCATGACATCTCTACTGTGTATCTATAGTAACAATATGCTAAGCATTTTTTCAAGAATAGACATGCCACTTGTTTCTGCCTCAGTATTTATTTCTAGTGTCTCAGTTTCCCCATCTGTGAAAAGTGTGCTATCTCATAGCTCAGGGAAAGGTAGGGAGACTTGATCTCTCTGAAAATATGAACACCTTAATTAATTCTGATCTAAAGCATTTGTAAAGTTATCACTACAAGTTTGGCTAGTGGATACGTGAGTCACACCTGCATTCAGACTGTCCAATTACAGTGCAGTACAGCCAAATCTTGCCATAGCATTCCATAGGTCACAATCACAGAATCGTAGAAAATGAGGGTTGGAAGGGACCTTAGGAGGTCATCTAGTCCAACCCCCTGCTCAAAGCAGGACCTTGGGTGCATACACATTTTGGTGGGGGTTTAGGGGGAGGTTAGATCATGTTAAAAGTGGCAGGTGCAGACCTTAGTTTGCCCAGGTATGGACCTTACATATAGATCCTTAGTTAGGTCCATCTAAATGTGAACTGTTCAGAAGTTCTAGGAAGGTTAGATTGGTCTAAAAATGGTCAACCTCATCTGACTTAACCCTGCTTCTGAGGTACTCTAACTTAGATTGTGTTGGCCATGTTTTGACTGATCTAATTTTCCTGAACTTCTGTACAGTTCCCAGCACAGCCCCAGGGCTGAAAGACAGCTGCTGGCCTCAGCCCCAGGGCTGAGCTCTTCCTACCCACCCCCCTTGATACCAGGGTATTTTTAGACTCCCAAACCCTGGCCCACTCCCATGAACTAGCCAGATCCCTCCCGTAGTGGAAGCTACTAAACCTTCTTGTTCTTTCCACCGTTTTAGTAAATTGACATGAAAGTTTTGTTTTTCCTTCTTTTGGCCCGGGCAAAGGATCTCATAGTCAACTAGCCCAACACACCTGGATATCGTGAATGGGCCTTTCCAACAAATTAAAACTTACTTGTAGTATCCAGGAGGAGGAACAACACCCTTTGCCCTGGTTGTAGGTTTCTCTCACTTGTTTTTCTGTCATAACTGTTTTTTGTTTCTCTTGGGCTTGTCAGAGGTTATCTTGGGCTACATTTTCTGCCTTTCCTAGCTGTTGCCT